AGAGGATAAACCCTTTAGTTGGCTCTCTAACACACGGGACATCCATGAGCTATCTTCATCATCCAAGGACATGAACTCATTAACAAGACCACCCAGGAGGCCAACCATGCTAGACGAAAAGCGACCCACAATAGTAGAAGCTTTAGCAAGTTTCTGATAGAAAATCATGAATGAAAAAACAAATAATCAAGTTGTGAGAGACATTAAGTACCATGCAAAAACAACTAAAAATACCACACAAACATAAGTTCAAATGAAGTTATTCCAAAGTGAGAATCTAAAAATAAAAAAAAAGTTACCATCCTAAAAATAGTACAAGTTACCAGGTCTTTATAACAATATTTACCAGGAAAAGGAAAACAAAAATACCCAAACGCACAAAAAAGATTGAAATACATGTTCAGAATAGTTTTGCGGTGCATGAACACGCATGAATTTATCTAGACCTTGTAAGCCACTAAACAAGCAATAGTCTTGACCATATTGGAGCTTAAGCTGAAAAAAAATGATAAAAACAAATTAAAATCTTGATAAAAAGATGGCAATACATAGAAGGTAAGAAAAATGACGAATGGGAAATTACCGGTAATTTCCCATAAGAAATCTTGTCCCTCTGGACATCCATCCGGAGAACTTTCGATGCCAACTCATTCGTCCACACATTAATTGCAAAAAGACCATTTGGCAAGATGATACCAAGGCCAGTTAAGTCAATAGCATCTATATACAGAAGCTGGAAAAACAGAAAAGGTCATTACAATCTAGTTGTTTGGCGGAATAAGATGTACAATCCAAAAATCATGGGAACAGAAAAAGAATGGGGGACTAACATTGTAGAATAGGAGGCAACCCGTCGTAGGCTTTCCTTTTGAAAGGGCTTTGTGAAGCTGATCCGCAATAAATTTACACCAGTTGAGGGTTTTTACATTGCCAATATTTTGCTGCGAAAAAAAAGAAAACACATGAAACATAGAGGAATGTATGCACACAAGTTAGCAGGGGACATAAGTAGACACTTATAACACTGTTAAAGCATTGAACCACCAAGTACATAAGCACACAATTACCACATTATTGAGAAATAAGTCAAAATTACCATATTGCAAGGCATAAATAAATTATCAGGTGCATTACTACATAATTACCACACTTTTAGAAAAAGTTATCAGGTGCATTACTACATAATTACCACACCTTCAAAAAAAAGTTATCAGGTGCATCACTATGTAATTACTACACCTTCATAAAAAGTTATCCGGTGCATTACTATATAATTACTACACCTTCATATAAAGTTATCAGGTGCATTACTACATAAATACCACACTTCAGATCATAGAAAAATCAAAGGGACAGAAATTACCACACTCCGAAAATCAGGGAAAATTATCAAAGTGCATATGGGCATAATCATCAGACTAAGGAGCAAAAAAGTTAACAGGTAAAGAAAACAGAAAAGAAAAGAGATAAAAAGCTTGAACTAGAAAGATAGCCAGATGTGCTTACCAACACAGGATACCATCTGGTTCTGATTTTGTTGGAAGTCATCAGCGCCATCACGGGTGCTGGCAGCAAGCACAAGCCACAAGCTCTTGAAATTGCCATCATGCCGGTTAGTGCTCAAGATAAGGTTTAATACATCCACAGTTTTAGGAGCATGTAGAAGATCACCAAAAAAATCTCCCACAAGCTCAAGCTGTGCATCTGTAGGAACCTTGAAATCCACCGCAATATCACCTCGAGGCACACCCATTATACGATGCACAGACTCTTCATTGACCGGTAACCTTCCGCGACCAGGTACAACAACCTCATGGGAATCAGGGTCGTATACACCAGCAAGCCATTGAGAAAGCCGATTGAACAGATTATCACACTCGATATTCTGCAGACTAGTGAAATCCATGTCATCGATCGCAGCCATTCTCTCATCTGACATATCCTTACAGGCAGTCACAAGAGCACTAGGACAAGCCATGTTTCGATCTGCGGGAGGCTTATGCTTCTTTAAGGGGTTCACCTCCTCAAAGTCATCATCTAATTTGCGCTTCCTTGGCATTGTGACCTGACACACAAAAATAACAAAAGAGAAAAAAAAAAGTGAGCATAAAGGATGCACAGCTGTTGAATTAATAGTCACACACATATTCTTATGATACATTGGTAACTTGTGAACATACAACAACATAACTCATCCACAACAGAGAATGACAAGGACATGTGTGCTTCTACTAGATATTGAATACCTGAATTTTTGTTTGCTTATAATACACCGATAAAAAGTATGAATCGGGGAAGATAACTTATGCAAATTAGGGATGGCAACAACTTGCGCACAAACACATATATTGGACATCACAGAACTAAGTATTCAGTGACATGATAATTTTATAGTGGACTCCTGATAAATTATTCACACCACTGATGGTAATATTCATAACTAAAGTTCATGTGAGCTAAATGATAGCACATCCATCAGTTAGAAACACAAAATGCATCATGAAACGAGACACCACTGATAGTGCTAACAAAGATCAGGGAAATCGAGCCATGTAGCATTTAGAGAAAACCCTAGAAATCAGAATCATGAATGTATACTTCACTGATGGCGAATCATGAATGTATACATAATGGTTTTGCATCTAGAGAAAACCCTAGAAATCAGAATCGAGTCGTGTAGCAGAGGGGGTCAGTTCAAAAATTACGGCAACTAGCCACAAAATCGAAAATGGCAAATTAATCACTGAAACGATGTGCATGTGAAACAGGGCCTAACAAATAGCATCTGCACCACGAATTGAACGCATTGGGCGCATTTCTCGTTTGTTCTAACATGTGACCATCCCGACGAACATCTCGCCACTAATGGTGTCGAGAAACAGAGCACGAACTACTGGGGGCGGATGTGAGGGCGATTGAGTTGATACTCACCGGTGGAACAGAATACTAGCGCCGAGAATCGGCCGGAGAAGGCGCCGCCGCTCGCCGTCGACGGAGAGAGAGCGGGGGCGGAGCGAAAGATAAGCGGGCGCGCGGTTACCAGACGAATTGAGACGCGCGAACTACTAGGGTCGCATCTGAGGGCGATTGAGTCGATACTCACCGATGGAACAGAAGACCGGCGCCGAGAATCGGCCGGAGAAGGCGCCGCCGCTCGCCGTCAACGGAGAGAGAGCGGGCGCGGAGCGACAGAGAAGTGGGCGTGCCGTTATAGAGGAAATGAGACGAGTGGAGGGAGGGGAGAGTTAAGTCGCGCACGACGGGGGAGACGGTTCGAGCGAAGCGGGCGATGGAGCGATGGCCCACACACCGGTGACAGAAAAAACAAAACTACTCGCTGGAATGTGTGGTGTGCGTTGGATTTGAAATGGACGTCATCCAGGTGGGGTGGCGATTTTGCAAACGGCACATGGTTACCAAATACATATTTCCTAAAAATAATTTTATAGAAGGCCAAAAGTTCGACGCGGATGACAAGCGCGGATTCCCCTGCTCGGCACGGCGAGACACGGCGAGACCCCTCCCCTACGTCGTCGGCACCGAGGGCCTCACCGGAGCACGCCCATGGAGCTCCAGAGTGCCGGGCGCACGAGCACGACACAGCAGCCCCTGCCGGAACTCGACGCTCCTCCTGCAAGTACGTACTTATCCCTCTCCACATCCCAGTTCCTCTGTTTTATTTCCGTTCCTAGCGCCGTCGAGCACTGTTTCGTCCACCAAATCTAGGTTTCTTCCCCGCCTCCGACGCTCGGCCGCGGCACTGAACTGCCCCTCCGCTGAGCTCCACCAAATTGTGTTCGCGTTGCCGGGCTCCAGCAATACCTCCACCAGATGCTTCCTTAGCACCTGAGCATCCATCCACCTCTACCAGTTTCAGCCGTCCTAAATCCAGCTACTCGGGAGTTGCTTCGGTGTGCAGCGATCTGGGCCAATCCCTTCTGGCAGTTCTATGTAGATGTGAATATGTGCCTCAATACCCGAGGGTGTCGATGAACTGCAGAATATTATTGGCTATCCGATCGATTTGGATTATGCAATGAACTGAGATAGATTCAGCTCAAAAATTTGGAAGAATACTGAAAGTACATACGAGTTAGTGCTTTAATAAGAGATAAAAAAACAATCTCAACAGATTGCAGATTATCTTTTGTAATCATGCTCTGTGTTTTACCTCTTTTTTTAGCAATTATGTCCCAAGATTTCCTAGCGTTCATATGCAAAACTTTAATGGCATGATGGATCTACAAAATTTGATATCAATGAGCCCAAATGCTCTGCAGAGAGGGGGCGGAGAACTTCATCAGCTGAAACAAAGACTCAACCCTGCGGAGAAGGTGACATTTGTCAAGATGCCCCAAAAACAAGACAAGACTTTGAGCTTGACAAACTTCCTGAGGTATGGGTTGCGAATAACTCCGTGGTTATTAACTTCTGGCGTAGCACTCCGATGTATACCTCTTATTATTGATCAACAATCTTGTGCATGGTAAATTCGCTAACAACAATTAAATAAACTTAAGTGCTATTTTATCTTCAATGCAGGTCTTGATGCAATGCACATGTGTCAATTAACACTATATATAGTTTTGTTGTTGATTCCAAGTGAGGTCAGTGTTAGTGCTAGCTATAACCTAACTGCTAAACTTGTCAACAATGCTACTGCAGGACATGCTACATCATATACATTCCCTCATGCCTGTACTAGACACTGGTCGTGCTGCCTGTGTATCTAGACGATTTCTGTGTTCATGGAGATGCTACTCGAACCTCACACTCAACATACAAACACTTTGGTCGCCTGGCGATAAATTTGAGGGAAGTGAAATGTATTTCATCAACAAAGTTGACAAAATTCTTAATAACTATTCCGACAATGGGATGAAGGTGAAGACACTAAAACTTAATCTTTGGCATTGTAGCAGTGTGAGTGCCTCCTACCTTGGCTCAGAATTGCTGTCAAACCTGGGATCAAAGAACTTCGCTTGTTGCTGTCTCCTTCCATGAAGGAAAAGTACTGCTTCCCATGTTCGGTTTTATTTGATGAGGCGGCTACGAGTTTGATCGAGTCCCTCTATATCTCCAACTGCACTTTTCATCCCATAGGAACACTTGGCTGCTTTAGAAGATTGAAAAGTTTAGTTCTGTGCGGTGTTCACATTACTGAGGAGGGACTACGACAGTTGGTCTCAAAATCTTTCAGCTTAGAATGGTTGGAGATCTTTTCGTGCAATGAGATAATTTGCTTGAAGATACCTTGTACACTGCAGAAGCTCAAGCTCCTCAAGGTTGGAAGGTGTCCAAAGATTCAGGTGATAGAGATCAGTGCCCCAAATCTCTCCGCTTTTCACCATTATGGGTTCCCGCCAGAGATCTATATTGAAGATTCTTCCCAACTTACGGAAGTATATTTGTCATCTTTATATCCGTCCGGAATTCTCTCTTACAGTCGTGCGAAGCTTCCATCTATCGCCAGCAATGTTGAGAGGCTTACCCTGGTGTTCTGCGGTGAGGTATGTTTTGGGTACATTTTGAGAAAATTATATTTAGAGGTATCAGTAGACTAGCGTGTAGTGGTTATATTGAATAACAGACTTTGTTCTTCAGAATGTCAACACGCCAATGCTTCATGAAAAGCTCCACCACCTCAAGAGTTTGGAGTTTGAATTTCACGGCTCAGGAGCCTGCTCCCCTGTCTATGATATCTTCTCTCTGGTTTCTTTTCTTGATGCTTCTCCTGCCTTGGAATCTTTGATCTTGCGTGTAAGTCACTATTCATGTCTTCTTGAGCTATATATGCTACTCCCTCCGTTCCAAAATAGATGACTCAACTTTGTACTAACTTTGTACAAAGTTGAGTCATCTATTTCGGAACGGAGGGAGTATCTATGGAAAACCTGGGAGCATATCTTTCATCTTTTAACTATTGGTTATCAAAGAACAATGATATTGATGATGATGTAGAACAATGATATTAATGTTGATGCTACATCATCATTTGCAGGTAGCACGAAACGCCATAGTAGATCATTGTGATGCTGGGGACGATGTATACCTAAAGGGGAAATCAGCATACCAGCATGACCGCCTCAAACGGGTGACGATCACGGGCTTCTGTTCAGCCAAGAGCCTGATTAAGCTTGTGATCAGCATCCTTGAGAGCGCTCCTTCACTCGAGCGCCTCACGCTGGATACGACTCCGCGTGGCTGCGGTAGGAAGCTTCGCGATACTAGCATATGCACCGCCGCAAAGTACAAGAGTAAATGCTGTTGGATAGGCGAGAGATCCCTCGAAGAGTCTAACAGAGCTGTTGAGGCTGCAGGTAGATACATCGCTGGGAGAATTCCATCGGCTGTTGAATTTGAGGTCCTTGAGCCCTGTAGGCGATGCCATACTGGCAACCCGGTAGATGATGTGTTAAATAAAAGTTAGTTCACTTAACTCTCGAGTTTGGAGCTTGGCTCATTTGACCCTCAACTATGAATTGAAAGCATACACGTGTGACCCTCCAAAGTTTCAAAACCAATGCGCCTAGCCTGGGTTATGTGCAGTGGTTTTGAACGATTTGTAGGGTTCGATGTCCGCAGCATGCTTCCTTTCCTTGTCTTCTTTGCTGTTGAGGAAAAATACGGCCACCACCCCCGTTTGTACAGAGGGGGTATGTAATTTGTGCAGAGAGGCAGCTGGTGCACGCTTCCTAATCAATGGGAGAACATGTTTTTACTTGTTAAGATAGCTGTGCCACTATGCTCTTGGTTCTAACTATACAACCGAAATCTTCGTTTCTCGTCAAGGTGCTGTCATATTTATACTAAGAGAGAAGGTGGATTTTACAGAGGTGGTAGATCTTTCCCAAACAATCAAACATAGTTGTATAGTAATTGCACGGCCTGTTTTGCGAGATGACCTGATGGACACTTTTTCCTTGTTTGTGAAGAAAGCTGTTTATTGGTCAAGAAACATATTGTAGTCTTTACAATAACTCAAGAGCTTGTCAATAAAGCCAGCTTCAAGATCTTCACTAAAGTCGCTACATATAGGATCAATTCGGTAGCTGGTGGGAGACCGGAATATCCTAGATGGGTCGTATCTTGCATGAAACTGTACATGAGTTGCATAGAAGGAAAATGAATGGGGTGATCTTTAAAATAGACTTTGAGAAAGTCTATGATAAAGTGAAATGACCTTTTTTGCTACAAACTCCTGTATAAAAGGTTTCTCGCCCAAGTGGATATCTTGGATTGAGACTTTTGTCTCATGAGGAAGTGTAGCTATAAAGGTAAACGACGTCGGACCTTATATTCAAACGAAGAAAGGTCTTCGACAGGGTGATCCCCTATCCCCACAAGCGGAAGACTCGGTAGGGCGAGGTGAGGCGCCCGCCCTACCTTGATTTAGCGCCAGATTTTATATACCGATAAGCTGCGCACACACACATCAGGTCGTGCATGCATCGCTAGATGGATGGAAGAAGAAAAGAAAAATAGAAAAAGGGGGGCATGGTCGTTTGGGGTTTTGGTTCTTTTTTTTTGCGAAAAGTTTGGGGTTTTGGTTCAGCACAAGCACAAGCACGGCGACATCCACTGATCCACACGCGGACAGGCGCTCCAGTCCTTCAACGCGAGGGTCGCCGGCCGCCTCCCTAATAGGTTGCTCACGTGCTGCCGCCAGCCGCCATCCCGGCCTCCTCACTCCCCTGGTCTTGGCCCCCACCATCCTTCGCAAGTCCCGGCCGCCATGTTGCCTGCTGCCTCGTCGTTTGGTAAATTTCCATTCATGCTTGGTAAAATTATTAGGACATGAGGGGATATTACAGCCAGTGTAGCCGGCCTATGTAGGAGCCTATCTGCTTATGTGACAATGAATTGAAATTTTCACGATTTGTTAAGAATTGAGCTTTGAATTGAAATGTTGGATGGAGTATCTGCCTCGTCGTTGTTCTTCTACGTTCGTGTGTTTTCGGGTTGAATCCTTCCAACCTACATTATTCTTCATCGACAGCGGTTGCTGTTCTGGTGCGCTGGTCCTATGAGGCCTTAGCACGACGACTTTCCGACTGTCTACTACAATAAGTTGTGTCCGACTCCGGCGATGGAGGGGTGATGATGGCGGCGCGCCTTCGGCTCGCTTCAGTGCTTGTAGTCGTCGTTAGGTGGTCTACGAATCTGAATGTAATTTTTATTTCTGATGTTCGTTGTACTGCCATGATTAAAAATGAATAGATTGAAAGTTTTTCCGAAAAAACAAAGTGTCAAAATTATTCCATGATGACGAATTTATTTACTTTTGGCCCGGGGTTGCTTCAATCCCGGCTCCACCACTCTCATCACGTGACCGAGCAACCAATCCTAACGATAGTGGCCACTATAGGTGGCGGCAGTTGGTCGGGCAAAGATCTGGAGCAGCGGAGACTTGACAAGGCCCAGTCGTGGGCACACGGGACAGGTGAGCAGTAGCGGCACAACGGTATTGCTAGTCGCCGGTGTTGGCTTGCATGTTGCCGCGACGGTTGCCGGCGCAAAGTTCGCCCCATCTTAAATATTTTTCATCCTCCGCCACTGCCTATCCCCTGTTAAATGATAGGCTTGTAGAAAATGTATAGGCTAGTATTTTGTGACATGTTGTCACGTATTATGTACACATACATGTAATCTTGAGTGTGCGGCAGATTGTTAGCTATGATAGGTTTATCTTTGTATAGCTTGGAGTAGAGGCCAAGCCTAATAACAACCTGCGCAACCTATCTTGTAATCTTGACATCTTTATATAACACGAACGCGTCCCTGCCGAACAGCATACGCTTCCACAATTCTCTTTCTTTCATGGTAATCAGAGCAACCCTCGAGCTCATCCATGGCGACGTCTTCAAGTTCCTTCCTCTCCTCGCCATTCGCTCACGCTGCCACAGAGAAGCTTACCAAGGGCAACCAAGCCCTGTGGCGAGCGACGGTGCTCTCCGCCATCCGGGGAGCCCAGATGGCGAAGTACCTCGACGTTGAGCAGCCGCCGTCGCCCATGTAGATCGACGTGGCCTCCGCCGACGGCAAGACCACGACGAAAGCGGCGAATCCTGACTTCCAAACCTAGTATGCGAAAGACCAACAAGTCTTCTCCTATCTCCTGACGACTCTTCCTCGTGAGATAGCCATCCGGGTTGCGTCCTGTCACACCTTGGCAGATCTCTGGAACACGGTCGAGGGGATGCTTGCATCTCGCACTCGATCGCAGACCACCAACGTCCGCATCGCCCTCGCTAACTTGCGGAAGGGCAACCTTTCCATCACCGACTACGTCGGGAAGGTCAGAACCCTCACCGACGAGCTGATCGCCGCGGGAAAGAGGGTGGACGAGGAAGACATTGTCTCCCACATCCTCGCCGGACTCGATGAAGATTTCGATCTGGTGGTTTCTGCTATGTGCTCCAGGGTGGAGCCGGTCACTGCAGCTGAGCTTTTCTCGTAGCTGCTCAGCTTCGAGACGAGGCTGAATCTTTGTGGCGGCGGGTCGCAGTCCTCCGCAAACAGTGCCACCCGAGGCCGCAAGCAAGGCGGTGGAGGTGGTGACCGCGGCCGCAGCCAAGCTGGCAATGGTGATGACCGCGGCGGCCGTGGCTATTCCAAGCCAGGAGGTCGTGGCGGCAGTGGCCACGGCGGCAACAATGGAGGCGGCAGCGGAGGCAACTACAACAACCATGCCTCTGCTTCTCGGGTGCAATGTCAGATCTGCGGGAAGATGGGCCATCCGGCATGGAAGTGCCGGAAAAGGTATGACGAGTCCTACCAAGGTATGGAGGAGAAATCAACCAATCTTGCAGCCCCGCAGTATGGCGTAGACACCAACTGGTACCTTGATAGTGGTGCTACTTATCATATCACAGATGACCTGGAGAAGCTGAACGTGCGTGATCGCTACAACGGCAATGAACAGATACATACTACAAGCGGATCAGGTATGGATATTAAACATATTGGTCGTTCAGCAATTCATACCCTAGATCGTGATCTCTACTTGAACAATATTCTTCATGTACCTGAAGCCAACAAAAGTCTCATCTCTGCTAGTCATCTTGCCATTGCACTACAAAAAAAATACACTTCCGTGATGATACGTGTTTGTCACAGTAGGTTGCGTTTTCTGTCATGCATGTACATCCATGACAAATTTATGACAGAATCAAGATAGTTATACATGTGCGGTCGTAGAAGTGTTCCATGACATTGCCAAAATTATCATCATGGAAGTGTCCACTTCCATGACGATAAATCACGCGTCACAGAAGTGCTTTCGTCAAGGGTGACCGACACGTGGCATCCACCGTAATGGAACGTCGTTAAGCTATCGGGTCGGATTTTGGATCCGATAACCCGTTAACAGCCACGACCAATGCATATTTTCCACGTGTAAAATTCTCATTGGCTGACGGATCCATGCGTCAGCTCCGCGTTGGCACAGGTGTCACTCCTCCAACGGTCGAGATGGGCCTATGATATGTTGACACGTGGACCGGCCCAAAAGTGGCCCACAAAGAGTAAATGGGTCGGCCCAACCGAAGGCCCATAAGATTTAGCGGACCATAATGGGCCGACCCAGCTAAAGGCCCACAAAATTTAGCGGACCATAATGGGCCGGCCCAGCTAAAGGCCCACACGACTTTGCAGACCATAATGGGCCGGCCCAGCTAAAGGCCCACAAGATTTTGTGTACCACAATGGGTCGGCCCAGCTAAAGGCCCACTAGATTCTGCCGACCATAATGGGTCGGCCCAGCTAAAGGCCCAACATTCTCTGTCAAATCGGCCCGTCAACGGCCTGTCCTAAACTTGTCATCAACGCGGCCCATGGTCACTTCTGCCCGTTAACAGTCCGCTAAGTAATTGGGCCGAATTACGGCCCGGTGTATTTCCGGCCTGTTAAAGGTCCGGCTTCATTTGGGCCCATTTACAGGCCATCAAAACTTTCGGCCCATAAACGACCGTGAAGGATTTGGGTCATATTCGGCCATGTCTGACATTCGGCCTGTTAGAGGCCCACTATAGCTTTGGGCCACTTTCGGCCTGTTAACACCGGACGTAAACCATGGGCCATATGTGGCCCAACGTCATATCGGGCCCATTAACGGCCCATATAAAAATGACGATAATCTAGCCCGACCGAAGTTCCGGCCTATTAAAGGCCCGTGTATTAGGTCGGCGCATTTATGGCCCGTCCGAATTTCGGCCTGTTAAAGTCCAATGGGTTATTTGGCACAATCAGGGCCCAATCTCATTTTCGGTCTATTAAAGGCCCATGTATTTTATGGGCTCGAGATATTTACACCTATAAACGGCATATTTTTACTGAGGGCCCAAATTATGTTTAGGCCTGTTAAAGGCCCACTATGGGCACAGGCCTACTAAGATAAACCTACACTATACAAAAATAGCATCGTAATTA